AGAGAGAGAGAGAGAGAGAGAGTAACTTGATTTTGTTAAATTGTGAACTGCGTTATAATTCATCAGTTTGTTATTTATTGTGTTTTATATTTGTTTCATAACTTTAATTACAACGACTGCTCTGTCGTCGATGTCGTTGAAGTTTAAGGACTTTTTGTCGATTAGTGTTTTCTCAACAATAAAAGCAAATCTTAATTACTATTATAAAATAAAACTTTTTTTCTTGCAATATAGTGAACCAAAAGTTACAATAATTTTTCAGAGATAAAAATACATTTACTTTCTATGTATAGTAATTAAGACATAAAAACTCATTCATTCAAATCGTAACCGCATTTTTGATTATGAATTATAAAATTCAAAAAAATATTTGTTTATATAAATATTGCATACATACAGGTATATACAGGTAGAGTGCGAGTGGTTTTAATTTAATATATGTGTACCCCTCGTCGTCAACCCATTTCTAGCGAAATATGTATTATTGTTATTATAATAACTTATTATAACCCTATTGTTCGTCTAAATATATCTTTAAATTAACAATAAATACGATTAACGAACCAAATATTGTTTATTAGCTTTTGTTTTGCAAAATATTAATTTATTATTTAGTCTAAAGTTAAACATTTTTAAGGGTTTGTTCTGTCAATCAATTGGTGACTATATTAGCAATCAATTGTTTATTTTAAATAAGTTATTTACTTATGAATATGTAATAAAAAATACTTTTTAACAATTTTTTGAGAGAAAGTAAAGTGTTTTTATCGTAAAAGTATTAATGAGAAAGTTGTATAATATTTACAATTTTAACTTTAATATCTTATAGCAATGTCACACATGTATATCATATTAAACATGTATTATATGCGAAAATATGGGTCAAAATATAAGTTAATTAAATTGTAAAGGTTTGCGAGCATTTTGTTTGTGCAAAAATGTGATCGTTATATTTTGTCTTTGGGGCCAAAATATTTGTTGTTATTAAACGAATGTGTTTTTTCCTCAAACGGTTTGATTATCGCATATAAAACATACATTTGATTCGTGTATCAAATCTGTTAAGGGTTTTGATTTTTTCAAATCAATTTACGCTTATAATTGTCATTTGAGGTCACATTCAGTACGAGAATTGGACTGTTAGGGGAATATAATCCGGTGAAGTTCATCATTATCTCTCTCTCTCTCTCTCTCTCTCTCTCTCTCTCTCTCTCCTTCTCTTTCTTTCTCTTTCATGTGTCTAATCGTTAGAAATCACGTATTAATTAAACCAGAAAATTAATGCAAAACTTGAAAAACTAAATACCATTTATGTTTAATATGCACACAATATATCACTAATAAATTAATTCAATAAACAGCTATTAATTTAAACCCACAATTTATATAGGATTGCTATCTTAATAAATAATAACAATTATATTCTTAAGCATCTGATGGCAAAACAGATCAGTCAATAATATAACAAATAAAATGATAAATTTTTAATCTTTCAAACTATTCTAATCATGGTATTATTAGCAGAATAAATTACAATTAAAACATAATAAAAATTTATATAAAATAAAATTATTATTCATAAAATTAATGAAAAGTCAATAATTGATCATGTATAATTAAGTAATGATAGATAATTAACACTACATTAGATAAAACTCGTTTTGCATACCTTTTAAAGTTGCATTTATTATGTAATGAATTAATCATTTTTGTCACAAATCAATGCTTTCGGTTGTTTTACATACGATTTCTTATAAAACCTCCAAAACAGGTATAAAAACAATGGACTTTGCATTTGAACTGAAAGTTAATACAAATATCATATAAATAGTGGTCAAACAATTGAAACTTCAGACGACATACCCGACCAGTAAAGAGCTCTGGGATAACCATTGCTGAGAAATATACTGAACACACCGTATGTGATGAAAATGGCAAACTGTATGATCTGTGCGATCGTGATGTACCGCTTCCACCATAAATACCGGTGCATTCCGGGCCCGAAAGCCGACAGAGCGTAATACGAGTACATAAATGTGTGAACAAATGTATTGAGCAAGGTGAATACGCCAATTGGCACCACCGTGGGCGCTATTTTTAACACCACCTACAGTTTGAACCATTATTTATCAATATAAATTTAGTATTAATTATAACAATATACAGTGTAAAGTGTGAATGATGGTAAAAGTACTAACCCACGCGAGCACCGGTACCATGAAATGGTGATATACGTGCAGAAACGAGATGTGAGTGTTTTTCTTGCGGAGCACAAAGAATATGGTGTCCAATAAGTCGATGTATTTTGTATAGCAATACATGACGTGTTCGTCAATCTTGTTGAGAGTCTTAGGGCTGTAGTCGTCGTTCGCCGGGAATTCAAAGTCCAGTAGCTTTTGGCCGAAATCAAGCCATAGTATGGACCGCACGAAGAAGTAGCCATTGATTGCCACCATAAATGTGTTGTAGACAAACATCACCCCTCGTAAGTCCATAGGCTTTCGGTTGCGCATCATATTTGGTCCCAATCTGGTCACAAACAATAGCCATAATAACATTATGGCCAGACATCGCTCGGGTCCGCCACGGGATATAAAATGAGTGCGAGTCCTGGGGTCGCACTCTTTCAGCCAATAGTCGTATAAATAATATCTCATTGAATTGACCGACAATTCATAGTCCCATATAATGGGCTGTAATATTGGTGCTGTACTTTCTATCGAGGTGTTCATTATTGAAATAAATGTGTTTTTTGTCAAATGTTTTTATTGATGAATTAGGAGAGGGAGAGAGAGAGAGAGACCCTTTATTTAAATGCCTATTAACTAATCTAACTATGAACAAATTTACACCGATTTAATGATGACTTATATTTATAAACAAAAAATTACATCAATTTTTGAGGAAAAAATTACATTTTTCTGTTCTGTTTGCTAATTACAAAATGAATCATTAGATTATTTCACCAAAACTAAGAAATACATTATGATTGTATTTAAAATAAATTATATGTTAATTTTAATATTTACTAATTTCTGTTTTAGGATATTATTGATAATATTTTTTGTACATTTCTTTAGTTTTATAATTGTTTTGCAAATAATTTTCAAAAATTAAATCCTTTAATTGTCAATATAAATTAACATAAAAATAAATAAATTGATTTCTAAAAACAGTAGAATCTAATTCAGTATACAATAAGTGATTTACAATAAAATTAAATAACAATTAAATGAACAATATTATGATAAAATTAGACAATGAAATATACTGTACACGAATGAAACAAACATAATTAGGTTAAACATAATATGATTGTAAGAAAATATTATTTTGTGAGAAAATCAATGTATTTGCGAATCAAACGATCAATTCCTTGGCGAAGAAGTTGAAGGGATGTCTTCTGATAAACCATTTTCTCGTTTCATCGAAAATGAAGATTAAGAAGAAGAAGGGAATCGCTGACAACCAAACCCAGCCCTTCACTGGTCTCAGAGACAACACTTCATTCACTTTAGGCGTATAGCAGAAGAATACAGACAAAGCCGTCTCGAAGATCAGACTGAATGTCAGGAAGTGATTGCTGTTCATCACCAAAAACAATGGGTCATCAAAATTGAAATTTAAAACAAATTAGTAAAATATATAAATGTATTAAATATTAAAACAATTACTCAAATCCGTGTTGAAATATCGACAGACGTCTAGTCTTGCAAACGATTACATCAATCCATTGGACGACAACAATGACAATGAAATAAGCGCTTTGAGCCTCCATTTGGATCTCTTCTCTTTGCTTAAAAGTCTGCAAAAATGACAATATTTTTACCATAATTTTTAAATCAACATTTCATAGACGATAACAACGTACAAAAACCTGTCCATATGAATTGGTCATGTTGAGACTGGTGTTTTCCCAGGCGATGCGCGACTGCCACAGAAGGGTTGGCTCAAAGCCCTCGTGCAAAAAGGTGAGGAAATAGCCGAAGAATCCGGCGCTCGTCTCGATTAGGCCAATGAGTAGATACGCCCGAAGCAGGAGCTGAGCGGTGACCAGTTTGTCGGTCTTGGGATTGCGCGGTCGCAACAGCATTATGTCCGACTCGGCCTTCTCGTAGCCGAGCGCTATGGCCGGCATCATATCTGTGCCCAAACAGATCAACAGCACTGTGACGGTGCCGATGGCCAGAGGAAAGCCGAATATCACGTACACCACGAACGGGTATAATGTGGTGACACTGCCGGCCATTATGTAGGACACAGTCTTCTTCATGTTGTCGAATATACGTCTCCCCTCTTCCACTCCGATCACAATTGTGGCAAAATTGTCGTCCAATAGTATCATATCTGCCGCTTGTTTCGATACTTCAGACCCTTTTTCAGTCACATTATAGTAAAATCAAACATTAATTTATGTTAAAAGAGAGAGAGAGAGAGAGAGAGAGAGAGAGAGAG